ACAGAGTGGGGAGCAGAACAGGCAGATCAACGAAGTACACTGCTGAGGGGAGCAGCGGGCGGGTCAGGAGAGGTCTGCCACGCCATGTGGTCACATCCAGGGCAGGCGGGGATCGAACTCATGCGGAATTGGCTTAAGCTTCTTAGTGCCACCAGGGAGGGCCAATTTCTAAATTTTTAATTGTAAAAAACCCTATTTTACCACTGAAACCATTTTCGAGTGTAGCGTTTAGTATTAACAAAATGTACCTTGTTAAGCAACAGATCTCCAGAACTTCATCTTGATAAAGGAATAAAACTCCACCCGTGAACAGCAATTCCCCATTTCTGCCTCCTTCCTCTCCCCCCTCCTCAGTCCCTGGCAACCCTGGTTTCTGCTGGATCACATTTGTTATCTATCTCTAAATACCTCATGTAGGTGTATATTTGCTTTTATGACCTGCTTATGTCACATCACAGCATTCTCAATATTAACCCACATTTATAGCATGTGACTGAATTTCCTTCCTTTTTAAGTCTGAATATTAACCAACCTTAAAATAACTATGAAGAGACTACATTTTGCGTATCTACCAGTTTGTTCATGGATGTTTCAATGAACACAAGCCTGCAAATATCCCCTTGAGACCATGCTTTCACTTCTTTTGGGTAAATGGAACTGGGATTCCTGTATCACTTGTAGTTCTAGTTTTAATGTTTCGGGGAATTGGAATACCAAATGTACCATTTTATATTCCCACCAACAATACATATGGGGTTCAATTTCTCTACAGCCTTGCCAATATTTTTTTTTTTTTTTTTTTTTTTTTTTTTTATAGTCACTGTCCACAGGGGTGTGAAGTGATATTTCATTGTGGTTTTGGTTTGCGTTTCTTTGATGGTAGTGATGTTCAACATCTTTTCATATGCTTGTTTTATATATATATATGTGTATATATGTATACACACATATAACATATATGTATATATGTCCTTTATATATATATGTATGTATGTATGTATATATATATATATCTTTTACTGATTTCTTTAATTGGGTTGTTTCAGTTGAGTTATAGGTATAAACATCTAAGTTATAGATTCCTACATTAACCCTTATCGCTATTAGATAGAAAGTTTGTGAATACTTTCTCCCATTCTGTAGGCTACCTTTTCACTATT